CTTTGAAAAAAACTGCTGGGAAAACTGGAAAAGAGTATGGCAGAAACTAGGCATAGACCCAAATCTCACACCATATACCAAAATAAAGTCAAAATGGGTTCATGACTTAGATATAAAGGCTGATCTATAAGTAAACTGGGAGCAAGGAATAGTTTACCTATCAGATCTATGGAGAACAGAAGAATTCATGACCAAACAGGAGATAGAGAACATTAAAAAGCAAAATGGATAATTTTGATTACATTAAATTGAAAAGTTTTTGCACAAACAAAGCCAATGCAACTAAGATTAGAAGGAAGGTAGAAAATTGGGAAAGAATTTTTACAACCAGTCTCTCTGATAAAGGCCTCATTTCTAAAATATATAGAGAATTAAGACAAATTTATAAGAATACAAGCCATTCCCCAATTGATAAATGGTCAAAGGATATGAACAGACAGTTCTCAGATGAAGAAATTAAAGCCATCTATAGTCATATGAAAAAATGCTCTAAATCATTATTGATTAGAGAAATGCAAATCAAAACAACTCTGAGGTACCACATCACATCTACCAGATTGGCCAACATGACAAAACAAAAAAATGATAAATGTTGGAGAAATGTGGAAAATTGGAATACTAATGCATTGTTGATGGAGTTGTGAAATGATCCAACCATTTTGGAGAGCAATTTGGAACTATGCCCAAAGGGCTATGAAAATGTCCATACCCTTTGACCCAGCAATAGCACTTCTAGGGCTATATCCCAAAGAGATCATACAAATGGGAAAAGTACCCACATGTATAAAAATATTCATAGCAGCTCTTTTTATGGCGGTAAAGAATTGGAAATTGAGAGGATGCCCATCAATTAGGGAATGGCTAAGCAAGTTGTGGTATATGAATGTAATGGAATACTATTGTGCTATAAGAAATGATGAACAGGCTGACTTTAGAAAAACCTGGAAAGACTTGTATGGTCTGATGCTGAGGGAAGTGAGCAGAACCAAGAGAACGTTGTACATAATAACAGCCACGTTGTGCGATAACTAATATTGATAAACTTAACCCTTCCCAGCAATACAAGGATCTAAGACACTTCCAAAGGCCTAGTGAAGGAAAATGCTATCCACATCCAAAGAAAGAACTATGGAGTTTGAATACAGATCAAAGCATACTATTTGCTATTTTTTTTCTCTTCCGTTTTGTTTCCTCTTTCTGGTGGTTCCTCCTATTGGTTCTAATTCTTACTTACCACATCATTAATGTGAAAATATGTTTCATAGGAATGTATATGTATAGCTTGTATCAGATTGTGTGCTGTCTTGGGGAGGGTGATGGGGAGGAAGGGGGAGAAAAATTTTAAACTCAAAAGCATATGGAAGTGATTGTTGATAAATCAAAATAAATTAATAAAAAAGAAAAAAAAAGAATATTGCACAGGCACTAAGGACTGGGACCTTATTGATCATCACCCTCACTCCCCACCACTCACTTATACTTGTAGGGACAGGCCAATGAAGGCCAGGTCCTCCTGTCATTAAAAATAGAAGATGTCAATAAAAAGTATTTCTTTAAAAAAGCAGTTAGCCCTGGCTCCTGAATCCAGAACTCAGTATTAAGAAACCAGATATTTCTCTCTCCTTTTTTTCAAGTTTATTTTATTAAAATATACAGTGACTGAATATCAAGTAAGTATTGTGAACAGGAACAGTCTCCTCTGGCTGCAAGTGAGGAAGATGTAGACACCAGAGTCTAGGCTCCTGCCAATCAGACATGCGGCCATGCCTTATACTACACACACACACACACAAAGGAGCATCTTGTGCAAATCCATGGTCCCTAGGGCTAGTCACTCAGCAGTGGGAGCCCCTAAGGAGAGGGACCAGGGTAGAAGAATTCCCAGCAGGCTTTTGGCTCCTAGAAGATAGACTGGCCCTAGTGCTTAGAGATGCAGGGAGAGAGAGTGAGAGAAGGGAGCAGAATGGGGCTTGATGAAGAGGAGAGGACACGCAGGGCCTGAGAATGGCTAAGAGCACCCCTCTATGGTTGTGGGGAGAAAGGCTCAGAATGTGGACTGGAGACTGAGGAGGGAGGGGAAAATGTGAACCTAGAGAAATGACAGGAAGACCTGGGGTTGTGTTGGTGAGAAAGGTAACAAGAGGTTGAACTGAGCTCAGTTACTGAAGTCCCCTTCGGGATACTCTTTCCCCTGAGTGTACATCAGGTATGAGGCCTAGGAGGGCTGTGCTTTGAACCAAAACTACTTGTCTAACCACGAGGACCACCATGGCCCTGCATTTGGTGTGGTGAGCACAGAGCCAGGCTGAGTCCAGAGGACAAATGGTAGAAATGGGAATCCCCCTGCAGTCAGGGGAAAACAGCAGGACATGGGGCTCTGAACTGCTAGGTCTGGGGCCTGAGAGGGGAGGAGAAGTTGTGGAGTAATGGAATGTATCTAGTTGGAATGTTCCTTGGGGGTGGCAGCTACGGCCCTCACACCATGAGCAATTTCAATTCCCCATTGTACTTTCTTAGTCCCTAAAAACCAGATGCTGGCTCTGACACACTGTGGAGCCAGCCAGAATCCTCTTCCTAGGGAGGAGAAGGTTACAGAAAAGTTTCTTCCACTTCCCATGGGGTACTTGATAAGAAATAACACTGGTTTTTCTTGAGGTCATTCAGCAGTAGATTGTAACTACCACCGTAATCCAAATTATTTTAACACCCTGGTAGTATTAATCACCCTTTAAACTTACAGAGCCAGGTGTAAATTTAAATGAGTCATATACAGCCTGTATAAACCTATATCCAAACCTCTTATTCCACATCAGATGTTTGGGGTAAAGGAAGGAGGTAGGGGATGGTTTGAGTCTCTTCTCTTGAAGGTTTCTAGCAACGTGGTCTCCCAGACAAACAGTGCCTCTGGGCTCTACTCTTTTCCTTTTTCTAAATGCTGGCCTGAGTACCCTTCCCTGAAAATCACAATGCCATCCCCAGAGCTATAGGTGGCCCAGTCTAACTCTTGAGGTCTGGTCAATACAAACGTAGACTCTGCCTGGTTGTCACTCATTCAGAAACAAGGAGTTTGTGCTTTTGAATATCATCAGGGAGGGGAAGGAATTAAGTTCCCACTTTTCTGATACAGGATTCATTCCAGGAACTCTCTTTCCTACTTCTCCCAGTTGTTGAGGAAGGGGGGAAGGGAGGGGAGGGCACCAGGAAAAAAACTTTAAACAAAAACCACCAGGGAGAGAATGGGACAGCCTTCTCTTGGAAAATAGAGGGTATCCAATGATCAGCCTCCTTAGAAGGCTTCTTGGTGTTGGCAAAGTTCTCACTTGTAGGCCTGCAAGTAAGGTTTGTGCTTTTTGAAGAGGTGAGGGACGGCCAGTCATCCTCATTGCTGTAGATGGGGGTGAGGGGACAGAGGGTCTCATAGCTATCTCCTTTTGGAGACTAACAAGCTAGTTAGCCTAGATAACCTAGAAGGTCACTTTCAGCTCTAAATCCTACTGGTATGTGTCTCTCTTCTCCTGGGGAGGGAGTGCCCATCTTTCCAGCAACCAGTCTGAACCAGCTGAACCCAATCCCCACCTCCACCAATCCCTGAGCTGCAATAGCTACCCTCTCTGTGCCAAAGAAGAAGATCCAGACAATTTGTTAATTCAAGTCTGAGCTCCCTAACCCAGAGGCACATTAAATAGACTCTGGTTTTTGAACCAGGATGAAGGATTTCCCTTCCTTATCCTGGGGCAAGAGTAGAAGATGGTTATCATTAAGATTCTATATCAAGTAGACCCCAGGCCCTGAGTTTGGAAGGCTATTCCTTTCCTGGGGTGGCAGAGTGGATAGGATTCTCCTCTTTGCAGTCGTGGTTGGATCCCTCACCCTTTAGCCAAGTGCTTCATCATGGTCTCTGACTCACAGGCACCTCTGTCTGTCCTGAGCTTAGCAGCTATGAAATTCCTGTTTTCTCATGCAGTTCTATCTGTTGTGAGTGACTTACCAGAAGGCAGGAACAAAGCATACATTGAGCTTTTTTTTTTTTAACCAAAACACGCCCTGCCTGCTCCCTCTCAACTTCCTGAAGAATCAGCAAAAGTAAGACTTCCCAGAGAAGCAGATTACTGCTCCCTTCCTCATGACATCCCTCCTGGTAGCCATGAAACCCCCAAGTGGAGGACGAGCTGGGCCATCTCTCCAAGTAGGGACAACGCACTCCTACAGTGAGGGCTGATCTAGAATAGAAACAAGACAGAATAGCTGCAGCCTGAGGAGGCAGTATGGCATCATGGGAAAAGAATAGTGGATCTGGAGTGAGAAGCCTGGAGTTTGAATCCTGGCTCTGCTACTTACTAAGCAGTTTGACCTTGGTCAAGTCACTTCCCTTCTTTGGGACTTAGTTTACTCACCTGTAAAATGAGGAGGGTTGAATTAAGTGGTCTGTAAAGGCTCCTAACAGCTCTATGATACTATCTTAATTAGGAAGAAGAGGAGAGAGCTCTACGGATAGCTTTGACCCATTGAGGCAGGGTCACCAATTTTGTCTCAAGAGATGAAAGACTGGAAAAGGGGTGTGTGACTTAATCCCATGGCCTCTAAGGGCTGCAGAGTTGCTATTGGCCTCAGGAAAAGAGGTGGAGATCTCCTTTAGTGACTGTGCTATCTGTCCTCTGTGGGAATTCAAGCCCTTCTCCTGGTAAAACCCAGTTGTCCAATGGAATTGGGGAACACTTCCCTAATCAGGCAGAAGGTACTACGGATTCCTTTTGGAAATGTGCAGATTTCACCCAGTCCCTGAGACATAAGTCCTCCTTGGGGAAGTGGACTGAATAGATGACACTCTATTACCCAGAGATAACATCTCCTAGTCTTCCTAGTAGGAGAGAAAAGTTGGTACATGTGATACTCAGCCCAGCTTGCGCTCTCTCTCTCTCTCTCTTTCTCTCTCTGTCCTTCTCTGTCCTTCTGTCTCTTTCTCTCCCTCTTCAAGCCTAGGGGAATCTTGTGTATGTGTGTAGCAAACTTTTGTTGTTGTTTTTTTCCTTTTTTTTTTTGTAAATTAGTAAAAACAAAAAAAAAGTTTCTTGTGATGGAGGCGCCTGTCAGTGTGAAGGTGGCCTTCCGAGGCAGAGGCTGGGGAGGGTGGCAGCTGAATGCTTCTCCCTTCTAGATCACGTTCTCAAATAACTGCATGGAACTCATGATGTTTTCATCCTATTTGGAGTAAGAAAGAAAAAAATGGAGAAAAGGGGACATTGTGAGGAGCTATCCAGCATAACAGTAGAATTCATTGTAAGCAGATTCTAGGAACAGTTATAGAAATGATGATAGTGATTAGGTAATTTAACATAAATTAACTTCATCATGAGAAAACATGGATTAAAAAGGAGTTTAGAGTTTACTGGGTCATGTGAGGAGAGGAGGTGCTGCCTGGCTGGAAGAGGTTTTGAGGTCAGTTGCTATTGATTGGGAAAGAGGCTCCTGGTACCCTTTTCTCCAGAGATCTGTCCAATATCCCAAAGGTCACAGTCACAAATAAACCACTGCACTCAAAGGAACCATATCCTATTCTATACATGAACCTTTTCTTTGCCTGAGAGTGTGAATGGAAGATTTGCAAAGTCTATGATGTCAGGACTTTGGTGCAGAGGTAGGGGCAGGGGCAATAGCAAGAGGCCAGGAAGAAATGCCAGGCTTGCAAGACTCTCTAAAAGATCCCAGGAACTGACTCCAAATAGGATGAACCCAAGTGAGGTGAGGGCCAGGAGTGGACCCAGACCTAAATAAGGCCTGTAAGGAGACTCTCTGGGCTGTTCTGACTTAGCCTGAGCTCTGAGAGTTTAGACTCCTATTGAAGTAAGTCCTAAGAGAATCACAACAGTCCTAGATCATGGCCTTGCTGAAGAGTTGGTTGTCAATGTTTCTTGGAAGGAGAGGGGACAGGATAGAGACTTTCTGAGGACCCAGACTGAGCAAGATGCTCTAAAACCTTCCCAAAGGAAAGACAGGGGTGGGGAAGATATGGAAGAAGAAAAGAGAAATCTCCCAAATATTCCTATTTCCCTGGACCCTCAGAAGGCGGAATTTCTAAGCAAGAGGAATCTAGCCTCTTGCTGCTTCTGGCTAGGCTGAAGGGGGAAGGAAGCTCACCTTTTGACAAGTCTCTAGGAATTCTTCAATGGTTACCACTCCATCCTGATTCCTGTCCATTTTCTGAAACACATACATATCCCTCTTTAGAAATAAGTCAAATCCAGGAGCAATCTCCTAATTATACCTTAAACTACAGGAAATTCACTCAGCCAAGTCTGTCCTTCCTTTCTTCCTTCCTTCCTTCCTTCCTTCCTCCCTTCCTTCCTTCCTTCCTCTTCCCTTTTTTTCTTTTCTCTCTCTCTCTCTCTCTCTCTCTCTCTCTCTCTCTCTCTCTCTCTCTCTCTCTCTCTCTCTCTCTCCACACAACATTCATTAAGTTCCTCCAATATGAAGGCATTATGTTAGGCACTCATCTATTTTTTTTTAGGCAGTTGAGGTTAAGTGACTTGCCCAGGGTCACACAGCTAGTAAGTGTCAAGTGGTTGGTCTGAGGCCAGATTTGAACTCAGGTCCTCCTGACTTCAGGGCCAGTGCTCTATCCACTGTGCCACCTAGCTGCCTCTGGTACTCATCTATCTGAAGAACATCCTCAGGCCTGAATCTTTCCTTTTGTCACTGATTTAACATTTTTCAAGCAGGTACTAGATACCATACCACTAATTTTCTTCTTTTAAATTAAAAAAAATTTTTTTTTTTACTTTCTTTTCATACCACTAATTTTCAAAAGATACTGTCCTGTTGGCAACCTCTGGACCCTGGCTTTCCTGGCCACTCTCCCCATCAGCTACCTCCCATCCCAATGTAAAATATTCAATGATACTTCCCCCTCTCCACTTTTCTTTCTTCTGGTCTCTCTTCCACCTACCTCCTGGCTTCACCACCAACCTTTCCTGCAACTTGCAAATCTGCCTCCTCAGTCTCTCTCTCTCAGGACTAATTCTAGGTAATAAGAATAATGCCTCATATTTTGTATTTTACAAAGTGCTTTCATATTCCTTATTTGACTTGGCCTTTCAAAGCAGTTATTTGAGGTAGTCAAGGCAGGTATTATCATCCCTATTTTACAGTTGAGAGATCTGCAACTCAGAGAGGTTAACAGACTTGCCTATGGTTCTATAGCAAGTCAGCAGCTTCACTAGAATAAGAACTCAGGTTTCCTTGAAACTGTGACTGATTTCCATCTCTAACCTGGATGGTTCACCTTACTTTTCACCACTCTCTTGCTCTCATCTCAAGCAAAAGTCAGTTTTCAGACTCCTCCCTATTCTTAAAAATTTGTAAATTTGTTTAGATCTGGAACAGATGTTAGAAATCATCGGGTCCAAGTCTCTGAGTTCATTGATGAGGGCCAAGAGAACCAAAATGACTTGCATAAGGTTACACAGATATTTAATGGTGGAGCTGGGGCTGGATCCTAGAGCTCCTGACTTCCAGGTTAGTATTCTTTCCTCAACATCCCACTGCTTTTCATGGAGTTGCTTCCAAAGTCTGAGGGCCATCTTTGGGAAAGAAAGGTGAAGGGGGATAGAGGACCAGCAGTCTGCATGTCAACAGGTAACATTTCACGTGAGAGGTGGTCTCAGGCCATGTCTGCTATCACCTTGTCAGGACTTTGCCTCTCTAAGAAATCACACACTTGGCCCCATAACTGAGAGACTCTTACGCTCCTCTCCATGTTTTCTGATTTCTGCCTGCATCACATTTCCCAGGAGCTGGGATGTTACCTGGAAGAACCTTTCCACGTGCTCCAATGGGGCTTCTTCCCTCAGGATGGGGTACGTGTGACGACCCATCATGTCATAAATGGATTTCATGATGGCCAGCATCTCCTAGGATGAGGAACAGGGCAGTGGTGAGGTCTGGGATATCCTGGGGACTCTCCTATATTGGAGAGGAGGGAACAGAAAGTCTAGAGAGCTAAGAAGGGACCTTCATTTGGAGACTGTTCCAGTGCTTCTGGTAGTATTCCACATTTCCATACTTTCTTTCTGCAACAGAGGGAACAATGGAAGGGGCGATGGCAAGGGCCCTGAGGACTACCAGGAAAGTTACTTCTTTAAAGGAGCAGCTGCTAATGGCCTGTCAACAGTTCTGCCATTTGCTGGTCCTTGGCTGACAGGCCAATTGTCACTGGGCTCATGCTCAAAGCCTTTCAGTTTGGGAAGACCCACCAGGTCTTATCCTCCTCTGGCACAGACTTCAAAAACACTGAATCATCTCCATAATGTGGCATCAGAGTAGGGATTTATCCAACTTCAGCTGAATGAGGAATTAAAAACTAAAGCCAGATAATTCACAACTCCATCTCTCTTACCTCACCAAAGAACCCAAAGCAATCAGTGCTTCAGAATCAATCAAACTGAGACTCTAAAGCTGAGAATCTCCTTCATTAGTGGAACTGCACATTGAAAACAAGCCACCTGCCTCACCTTGACTCTGGGCCAATCACAGACCAGAATCCTTACACCTGACCAATGCAAATGTTTTTGATCCCTCTGTTCCCCACCTCCCATTCTTTACCACTTGTAAGCAGTACCTCTTTTGTGATGTATCCATCCTTGTTAATATCATAGAGATTAAAGGCCCATTTCAACTTTTCATGGACTGTTCCTCGAAGCAAAATTGAGAGACCCACCACGAAATCCTGTCCAAAAAAAATGGAGGAAAAAAAAAGAGCATTGGGCTGAAGGGAGTTGGATTTTGTTGAGGGGATTACTGGCAAAAATATGGGATTAGGGAGTGGACCTGTGACTTCATTGGTACTATATAAGGAACTTTCAGATGAAGAAATTCTTTCTACCAATGTAGATTAGCATCTTTTCTGAAACTTCTTAGAGAGTTGCCTAGAACCCTGACAGATTAGGTAACTTGCCCAGGGTCCCACAGCCAGTATGTGTCCATGGTAAGACTTGAACCCAGATTTTCCATGCTATCCATGGTAGTAATAAAAGTATCATCAAAGCTCACTAAATTAGAATAATTTGGGGCGACTGATACCCTGATGTGAAAAGGCTAAATTATAGAATATTTGGTGGAAGTACAATTTTTATTATTTTCAGGTCCAAATTATAACTAGAACTAGGCTAATGATGGCTTGCTGAGTAGAGGTCTTACAGGACCTGCTTTAATGAACAGGGCTGTTTTATTGAGCAAGCATTTTATGATCTGAATACTTAAAAAAAAACCATGCCATAAAAAAATTAGAAGAGAAACAGATCATATACCTTTCAAAGCTTTGGGGGGAGGTGAATTCTAAGCCCAAAAGGGATAAAGGAAATTCTAAATCAAAAAGGGATAGAGCAAAAGATAAAATAATTTTGATAAATGCAAAATTGAACAGCTTCTGCACAAACAAAATCAATGCAACTAGGATAAGAATAGAAATAGTCAACTGGAAAAAAAAATAAGCATCTGATACTGAAGATATAAAAGACAACTAACTATATTTGAGACCAAAAGCCTTTCATCAATCAATGAGTGGTCAAAGGATCTGAACAAAGTTTTCAAAAGAAGAAATGAAAACAATAACAATGTGTGAAAGTTTGCTCTAAATCAGGCCTGCACAACCTGCAGCCTGTCAAAGGATTTTGGGTGGCCTACGAAAAATCCTCTACATTTTCCGTGGGCCGCCCAAAATCCTTCAGTGGATTGCAGGTTGTACAGGCTTGTGCTAAATCATAATATTAAGAAAAATGCAAATAAAAGCAACCCTAAGATTCACTTCATGTGCAGCAAACTGGCAAAGATAACAAAAGATAAAGAACAGTAAATCCTAGAGAGAACATATGGAAAGATGGGCACACTTAAAACATTGTTGGTGGAGCTATAAATTAGCTTCAATTGTTCTGGAAAGCAATCTGGAATTATGCAAAGAAGGTGACTAAAATGTCCCTAGCCTTTGACCCTGCACTGTTAAGTATATACCCCAAGGAGGTCACTGACAAAAAGACAGACCCCCTAGACACCAAAATATTTATGGCAGCAATATTCCTTTGTGGTAGCAAACAGCAGGAAACAAAGTCAATATCCATCAGTTGGGAGACTGGCTAAATGAATTGTGGTATACAAATATAATAGAACATTGCTTCACTGCAAGAAATCATGAGTATGATCAATACAGAGAAGCATGGAAGGACTTACATGCACTGATGGAAAGTGAAGTAAGAAGAGCCAAGGAACCAATATATATAAAACTATAGCAATGTAAAAAGAAAGAACACCATCACCACCAAAACAAATGAAACTGAATGCCATGAAATCATAGTGATCAAACTTGACCCAGAAGAAGAGATGTTAGAAAACACGTCCCCCTGCTTCTTTGCAGAGTTGGAACTATGGATGTGCATCATGGTATATAATCAGATTTTTTCAATGTCTTACTTAGTTTTGCTGAACTTTTTTTGTTTCTTCCTTTTAAAAAACTTATTTGTTGTAGGAAATGGCTCTATGGGAGTAAATGAGGGGAGGAATACATAGTGGGAAATTTAGGAGATGTAAAAACAAAAGATATCAATATTTTTTTCAGAAGTATAGCTAGTATTTGTAAATAACAGTTCTCACCATTACCCAGCCTATCTTCCATGATGATGCCTAAAAGCAGGTGTATGTCTTTTCCGTTCTCTTCAGTGGTTTAACCATTCTCCTGCCATCCTGTTAACACTAACCACTTACTTACCAAACCCTTTGGGGGTTCATTTGGCCCAGTAGCTGTTTCTTCTGTCTTGTCAATTCAGCTTTTCTGATTGTAAGAGACATGCAGGGGTACACTGGTACCAAGAAATCAACAGCTATTTCAAAGGCCAAAGACCAGAAAGGACTTAAGTTTCTGGCTCATGATCCTCTTTTGCAAAGTTAGTAACTCCAGTAGTCAGTCCCTAACCTGCTACATTCGGCAGATAATCAAGTTCTATCTCTTTAAGGACTCTTGGAAAAGTAAAAATGAATAGGTTAAAATCAACGTTTCTGATGTTAAGATTAAGCCTTCTACCATAAGATCCCTGGGCCTGGGTACTCAATGAGCACTCTTCCAGTGACTCAATCTCTATGTCCCATGTTCTTTTTTGGAGGATTAGGGTCCTGCAGGCAGGGAGTGTGTAGCACAATGGAAAGGGCACTGGATTTGGAGTCAGAAGACTTGGGTTCAAATCTAGATTTTGTCACTTAATAATTGTGTGACCTTGGTAAGTCACTTACCCTTTCTGGGACTTAGTTTCTTCATCTGTAAAAAAATGTAAGATTCACTTCAAGGTTCCTTCCAGTTCCAAATCTATAATCTTATGATACTATGTGTTATATAAAAGGAGAGAGAGTTAGCACTCCCCTTGATAAGGAAGGTCCTAGTGGGCTTTACACATAGAGTTGTTTTATTTTTAGAGGTAGTTTTGGCAGTGCAGTGGATAGAGCTGTTAGTCTTGGAGTCAGGAAGACCTGAGTTCAAATTGAACTTCTACCACTTATTAACTTTGTGACCCTTGGACAAGTCAGTTAATATCTGCTGCCTCAGTTTCCTCTACTGTAAAATGGGAATCGAATTAGCGCTTACCTCCCAGGGCTATTTTTTTTGGGGGGGGGTCGAGGCAATCAGGATTAAGTGACTTGTCCAGGGTCACACAGCTAGTGAGTATCATATGGCTAGATTTGAACTCAGGTCCTCCTGACTCCAGGGCCAGTGCACTATCCACTGTGCCAACCGAGCTGCCCCTTCTCAGGGATATTTTGAGGATTAAATGAGATAGTATTTGTAAAGTGCCTAGCACAGTGCCTGACACATAGTAGGTACTTGATAAATGCGTGTTCCCTTCTCTACTATGAATGCAAGTATTACCATATCTCACAAAGGACATTTTCCACTACCCAAATGCTTCCCCCACTGAGGGAGCAATTTTTGTTGCCATTTCCACAAGGGTCCAGAAAAGCAGAGAGACTATCTTTTCTCCTAAACCTGGCTGGGCCTCTTTCTGACTTCACTATTTCTGTCTTTGACATCCCCTTTCACCCAGGTTCCCATGCTTATAAACTTGGAGTTATTTTTTGACTCTTTGTTATCCCACACCCTTTTCATCTCTATTCAATTATCAAATCTCATCAATTCAACTTCTTCAGTATCTCTCCTGTTTCTCATTCCCTATTCTTCATGGCTACCATCTTAGTACAGGCATCTATTACCATGTATATGGATTTAACAGATCTTTAAACCTTTACTCTCTTTCCTCTCTAAACAGTCCTTCATACTACTTACTATCAGACTTATCTTCCCTGTACATAAATCAGGTCAGGTCCAGGGAACCAATCACCTACTTAATTCTCAGTCACTAGCATATCTCAGAACTTGAAGAGATCCTGACTCTTTGTGAGTCAGAGGTAGTAAGAACTCATACCAACTCTGAAATTCCTCTATCTGGCCACAATCTCCTATCCTACCATCTCTCTTTCTGCCTCACCCCTCCTAAACCTATTCCTCATGCCCATCCTGATTCTCAATCCTTTCACTCATCCCTGTTCTTCCACTCCATCTCCCCTTGCCTGGCTTTACTTGCTCTCTCTTTAGTCTAGACTCTTACACTATCAATTATCCTTGAATCCCTTGCCACCTTGTTCTATTGCCAGTGTTGTTTGGCCAAACTCTGATCCTGGGTCCTTACTGTCTGCCTTCTCCATTCCTATTCATTCATATGCTGCAAAAAGCCTTCTTTTCATCGCATGGAGCGGGGGAGGGCCGGGAGAGAAACATGCAATTGGGTTCACTACAAATTTGATTTATCTAATTTCAACTGGACCCTCTCTGCTGCACTAAAGGAATGTAAATATACTTGCCTCTAGCTATTTCTAACTCATTTCCTCAGAACTCCTTCCCAATGGCAAAATCTATCATTTTTATAGCCTGGTTTCTTAAAACTATGATACCACAATACAAAAGAAATTGCAGATTAAATAACATAAATGAAATCAAATGGGTTGCTTCAGGAAGTTAGAGTATATACATATATATATATATATATATTATATATATATATATATATGTATATGTATGTATATACAGAGAGAGAGAGAGAGAGAGAGAGAGAGAGAGAGAGAGAGAGAGAGAGAGGAGAAGTAGAAGGAGGAGAGGGAGACAGGGAGAAAGAGTCCTGTGATTACAAAAGGATGAAAGCCCAATCAGAAGGTCCCTGTACCAATGCAGGTCATCACCTTCTCTGCAGTTTATCTATTCATGGTCTTAGATCGTCTGAGGCAATGACAGGTTAGGTAATTGGCCCAAGATCATAAAGTCAGTATGTGTCAGAGGCAGGACTTTAACCCAGACCTTTTCAGGCCAGATTGCTTCTCTGATGTATCCATCCACTGCCTCTGAGAGGCAACATGATGTGGTGAATAAGGAGTCATGAAGACCCAGATTTGAGTTCCTCATCTAGCATATACTGGCTGTCTGACTCTGGGTCAATCCTTCCCACTGCTTATCACTGGCTGTGAGTTCAACACATTCTGTTGTTGTTCAGTCATTTTTCAGTTGTGTCTGATTCTTTGTGATCTGATTTGGGGATTTCTTGGCAAAGATGCTGGAGTAGTTTGCCAATTCCTTCCCCAGCTCATTTTATAGATAAAGAAACTAAGGTAAACAGGGTTAAGCAACTTGCCCAGAGTCAC